AACTGGCAGATGGGGGATAATCTGCCCCCCAGGAAGGTTGCATCCTAATCTGTAAAAATTAGGGATTGGTTTATACCCTGGAGCTTGAAGTCTTATATCCATCCCAAACCTTAGCCCCCATCTTTCTTCACTAATTATTATAACTCTGGATATTCTTATTATCCATATACATATCCAATCCCTCTTGATTTACTAAATTCTTGGCCTCAACATCCTGTGGCACTATGTTCCACAATCTAATTATGTGTTGCCTGTAAAAGGATTTCCTTTCACTCAACGCACGACTAGCCTAACTGCTTAGACTGGCTCTTTCAGTGAACCCTGGTACGGAATGAGGAACCCCACTACAGGGTTAAGGGTACGTCTGTGATGCCCCCTTGCGGGACTGGCAGACGCAACAGCCATTATTAAACCAGAAGAGCTGACTTATGTGCTGGTTTGCAGAGAACTTTGGGTTTTCCTAGGCTTGGAATTGTATTTGGCTTCTGTGTGTGCTGACTTGGGGTGGGCCTGGGCTCTCTCAAAGCCTGTGGGGGTAGAGGTGGCATGACAAGTGTTCATAACTTGGTAGTGTGTAATTTTAACCTGAACACACACAAGCCCCCTAGGAACCTGCGCCACAGCCCCCTTGGGGTTAAACAAGTGAGGGGCTCCACAGATGATGGGGAAACTTCAATCGACTGCTCAGCCCCACGTCAGCAACATACAGTGGGGGCTTCACACATCTTCAATAAATGATCTGGAGGATGGTGTGGATTGCACTCTCAGCAGATTTGCAGATGATACTAAACTGGGAGGAGTGGTAGATACACTGGAGGGCAGGGATAGGATACAGAGGGACCTAGACAAATTGGAAGATTGGGCCAAAAGAAATCTGATGAGGTTCAATAAGGACAAGTGCAGGGTCCTGCACTTAGGACGGAAGAACCCAATGCACCGCTACAGACTAGGGACCGAATGGCTCGGCAGCAGTTCTGCGGAAAAGGACCTAGGGGTGACAGTGGACGAGAAGCTAGATATGAGTCAGCAGTGTGCCCTTGTTGCCAAGAAGGCCAATGGCATTTTGGGATGTATAAGTAGGGGCATAGCGAGCAGATCGAGGGACGTGATCGTCCCCCTCTATTCGACATTGGTGAGGCCTCATCTGGAGTACTGTGTCCAGTTTTGGGCCCCACACTACAAGAAGGATGTGGATAAATTGGAGAGAGTCCAGTGAAGGGATTAGGGGTCTGGAACACATGACTTATGAGGAGAGGCTGAGGGAACTGGGATTGTTTAGTCTGCAGAAGAGAAGAATGAGGGGGGATTTGATATTCTTTCAACTACCTGAGAGGTGGTTCCAGAGAGGATGGTTCTAGACTATTCTCAGTGGTGGAAGAGGACAGGACAAGGAGTAATGGTCTCAAGTTGCCGAGGTTTAGGTTGGATATTAGGAAAAACTTTTCACTAGGAGGGTGGTGAAACACTGGAATGCGTTGCCTGGGGAGGTGGTGGAATCTCCTTCCTTGGAAGTTTTTAAGGTCAGGCTTGACAAAACCCTGGCTGGGATGATTTAATTGGGGATTGGTCCTGCTTTTGAGCAGGGGGTTGGACTAGATGACCTCCTGAGGTCCCTTCCAACCCTGATATTCTATGATCTCAGCTGGGGCCTGGGGTTAGTCCTTAGGGTCCCCATGTGTGCCACATCTTAATCAAGAGTGTTTTGTCCATCTCCCCTCCTTCTGCGATCACTCAACATCCTTGTAGCAACTCCAGCAATTGCTCCGGGGGGAAGTGACATTAGGAAAATATTTCTGTATCTTTAGCTCTTTGTTGCAGTTTAACGGCTGGAAACCAGGCAGAGCAGCCAGTGCCGTCCATATTATTTATTTGTGTTGCACAGCCAGCCAGAAACCCCAGTCGGTATCAGGACCCCTGGTACTAGTGGATGTACAAACGCATAGCAAGAGACAGTCCCTGCCTCATAATGCTTGCAGCTGGAGTCAAGAGAAGACGCAACAATGTGAGCATCAGGACGGTGCACACCCCCAGGAGATGCTCCATGGACCAGCTCTGCCTGCTGTCGTGCTGTAGGAGCAGCACTTATGTGTCCCAAAGGAGCGGGGGAGGTGGGGATTAAAGTGGGTAAAAATTGAGCCGTTTGGATTTCTCAGCATCTCCTAACACCCACTGGCAGTGGTTCCGAGCTTTGTCTGATGGGTGGCAGCAGCTCCCTGGGCTCTGGGCCAGGGAAGAAAGGTGTATTCGTTGTTCACCTTTCTCGCACACTGAGCATTCCAAGGGGAAGCTGCATACGAGTGGGAATTTCTTGTGCTCTTAGTATCTCCATCTCCGCTTGGGTTTTGGTACCTGGAGATACACTGAGCTAGTCCCAGCAACTCTTTCATTGTATAGAATCCTAGCACAGAAATGATCACAGCTAGGCTCTGACTAGTCCAGGCCTGGGGAGCTGGGGCAGGACTGTTCTCCTCAACAGTCTCCAGGGCCTTATCCAGTCTAGTTTTAAATATCCCGATTGGTGGTTCCTCCCTTCTTCCTGCTGGAGACAGTCCCGCAGACTAACAGATCCTTCAGTGTCAGGGCATTTGTCTTGGTGTTTTCACTGTTCGTTGGCATCTGATCTGGTTATCTAGGTTCTAGGCTCGTGCTATTACTCTGTTTTCATCCCATCGCTCCTAACAGCGTACACTTGTGCTACTGCTCTAAACCATTCCTCTCCCACCTGGGTGTGGATTACACCATGCAGATACTTACAGGCTTTTTTCAGTTTTCCCCCTTAGCAGGAGTGTAACCTAACTAAACATATTTCTGTGATTGTCCCTTGTAGCTTGGCCCCCGATCATTTCAGTGACTCTTCTCTGAACTCCTTCCAACTTTTCACTTTCTTCCTAATACAGAGGTGACCTGTATTCCAGGGGTCATCTGTAAATACCTACGTGGGGAACAAATACTTAATAATGGGCTCTTCAGTGTATCAGAGAAAGTTACAACACGATCCCCTGGCTGAGGTGAAGCTGGACAATTTCACACTAGAAATAAGGTGTCAATTTTTAATTAACCACTGGAGCAGCTTACGGAGGGTCATAGTGGAGTCTCCATCCTGGGCAATGTTTAAATCCAGATTGGAGGTTTTCCTAACAGCTCTGCTCTCTGAATTCTTTTGGGGCAGTTCCACCACCTGTGTTATGCAGAAGGTCAGACTGGGTGGTCACGCTGGGCGCTTCTGGCCTTGGAACCGAGGAATCTGTGCACAGAGCAGTGCCCTCTGCCTGCCCACAGCCCCAAAACAAGCTTCTTTTACCGTCCCATGGTGGTTGGGCTCTTTGAGGATCCATCCTTTTGACTGGCCTTGCACACACGCACGCGCACACACGCACACACCGGGATATCAGCGTACATGGAAATGGAAGGGACTGGAAGCACAAAACCAGGTGCAGGAATGAAGCTCTGTAGAACACCTCTAACACAGGAAGTAGAGCTTTGATGCCCCCGGATGAGAGGGGCTGGTGCTGTTGGGTGAATCCATTATCCTTTCACCTCTGCGTTCCCAATCTAGCTTGAGTCACAAGTGACCTTGAATTTAGTCTCATCCTGACCCCAATTTGTGCATATCACAACACAACCACACAAATCAGCGGGACTGTCCATCTCTGCTCTAGGTCTGTAATAGCAGGGTGGGGGTGGGCACAGGAGGGGGTTACCATGTGCAGGTGGGCTGGGGGGGTGGGCACAGGAGGGGTTACCGTGGGCTGGGATGGCTGGGGGGGTGGGCAGCAGCAGGGTGGGACTGAAGGGTGTCAGGGGTGGTGCCTGTGGGGAGCCCTGAAATAACAGTGGGAGCTGCAAGACTAAGATTCCTGGTAGTGCTGTGTGGGTTCCGAGGCGGAAGTGACCAGGAAGTTTGCATGTCCTGATGGGGACAGGACTGCACTGGGAAGGGTGGCTACATGTCAGGAATGAAATGCGTTTGCAGAGTTGTGTTGTGGAAGGTGGGTCCAGCATCTGCCTGTGCTCCCTTTGATCCCAGCACTGAGTCTACCCACTGAAAATGTGTTCTCCTCCCTGCTTGTGCTAAAAGAGAAAACACCAAGCATTCTCCTTTCCAGTTAATGACAGAGGGCCCAAAGCAAGAACATAAGGATTTAACAATTTCCCTGGTTTCAGAGTAACAGCCATGTTAGTCTGTATTCGCAAAAAGAAAAGGAGTACTTGTGGCACCTTAGAGACTAACCAATTTATTTGAGCATGAGCTTTCGTGAGCTACAGCTCACTTCATCGGATGCATACCGTGGATACTGCAGCAGATTTCCCTCTATTCTTAGCTTCCCTCCATTGTGCCCAGGTGTTGCAGCACATGGGGTACAGAGTGATAGGCCCCTGGCTGTTTGGAAAGCAAATGAGCAGGCAGCCTTCCCTGGAATTCCCTGTCATGAGGGAAGAGGCCTCCTGAGTTTGTTTTAATGTAGATTCTGGATTTACGGTGCAGTGGTTACCCTGATACACCTTCCAGTTTTGCTTTAGATAATTACTGTTGCTTCAGTGCATTCAATATTCCCTCTGTGTTCCCTGTCCTGTATATTGGGAGCATTGCAAATAGTGACAGTACTTTTATATGTAGTTATTTTAACGACAGCTCTGAAAGGTGACCACTGTACATGGCATTTGGGTGTCACCCAACTGCGAGATCAAAAGGGTATTGTTTGTGTAGGCTGTAGAATGACAAGAGTATCCCTTGCTTCTCTTAGTGATCTCCTGGGCCTTTTCCACCAGTAACTTCTATGGATTTTGTGGGATTTCTGACCGAGTCATTTCAGCCAGGACAGGTTTTTGCCCCTTTTTTCCCAGCACTGTGATTGGCAGCTGGCTCCATGAGGGGGCTGAATGGTGCAGCAGGCTCCAGGGGTAGGAATGAGGCAGCTGTGTCTTTAAGGGCCTGCTGTTTAACATTCTCCCTGCTGCTGATGCTGCCCTGTGCTGTGATTGGCTGAGGGCCGGGAGAACGGGGAGGCTGGAGATAGATGCTCTCGCCTTCTCCCTTCTCGTCCAGGGACCAGAAACAGCAGAATCCTCCAGCCCAAGCCCTGCAGGTGAAGCCAGCTATCTTCTTCCTACCCCCTGCACATACCCACTGAGGGAGCCTGACTGCGCACACGGCTGCCAGGGCCAGGGACTCCTCTGCCACGGACCCTCACTGGGGAAGCAGCAAAGCAGCTAAATGAAGCAAGGCAGAGAGCTGATTGCACCGAGCCCCCCATGCCAGCAGCTCTCCAGGGCCTGAGGGGCAAGCTGACATGCTAGCACCTGAATGGCTGGCAATGCAGAACAACAGAAACCGTTTTTATGGTGTGGCTGTCCTTTGGAGATAATAGATTTATAATTCTGGTTTTTGTACAGAAGACTCTGGACCATCTCTGACTACAAGAGGGGGAGGGGGTGCGTAGAGGGAGAGGAGGCGGAGGCATATTCTGCTCAGGGAGGGGGGTCCCTTTTCCCTTTTGTTCTTGGTTGTGTGTGTATTATGAAAGCAAATATGCACAAGCACCATCACTGTTGTAAGTGCCCAGAGTGCTACGAAGTGACGCGGATGGCGGCCCTGCGTCGCATGGAGCCTCCGTCCTACGGCGAGTGGCAGCATGAGCAGTACGGCTACGGGGGCTACAGCTCGCAGACCCTGCCGTCCCAGGGGGGAGCCACCCCCACCTCTCGGAATAAGAGCAAACTCATCCCCACCTCCCGGGACAATGTCCCTGCTCCCCTGAAGCAGGGGCAGGGGAAGAGCACTCCCAAGATGAACGGGAACAGCACAAACTGGTGGCCAGAATGCACATGTTCGAACCGCGACTGGTATGAACAGGTATGGGACACAGGTTGGCTCCCCGCAGCCAAGGTGGTGGGGGGGGAGGGGCGGCTTTTGTTACAGGGCTTGTTACCACTCCCCAAGCATCCTAGGCACTCGTTCTGCCTCCGTGTGTCTAGAGTAAATGGTGGGGGGGTTGAGGTACCCCAGGGATGGGGCAAGTGGTTGGAAGGACCCCTGGATTCTGCAGAATGTTCATTCGGAAAGAGAGATGTGTTAGCAAGAAGGTGGCGTCCTGTAGCACATTTTGGCACTGCTTGGCTATTGGGGTTGGCTGGACGGGCCAGGACTTCCCAGGCCAGCATCGAGGCTGTGCACTCTCTCTTCTCTCATTCTGCTCTGGGCTAGGAACAGCCTCCTGAGGCCTTAGCTGCTAAGGCCTGTCTGAATTCTGCTTGGCACAAGTACCGGTGATCATTGGCACCCCACCCCAGGTTCTCATTGCTCAGAATGCAGCTGCCTGAAGTCTCGGTGATGCCAAGTGTCCCATCAGCCCTTGGGAGCAAGGCACCAGGCATACTGCCCTCAGGGCAGTCTCTGAGGCTGTTGGCACCGACTGCCAGCACTCACCAAACTAGTTTCCCACCTTCTATTGGGTTTGGAAGCCTGTTCCCCACTCGTCGTTCCAAGCTCTCCATCCCCATCGATAATTATATAACCCTCTTCTGGTCTCTGGCATGTTGTGTGCTTTCTGCCCCATTTCACTGCCTTTACTTCTTCCCATCTTATTACTGGTCTCCTTAACGAGCAATTGCCGGGCTGTCTCTCTCATCTTTTCTACATGGGGAGGCCATTCTTCTCTTGAACCCATCAGCCAGCCTAGAAAATGGATGGAGCCTGTTTGCAAAGCCATAAAATGGAGGCTGGGGCCAGGCTGAGAGACCATCTACCTCCAAACCCTGTTCTTTCCTCCCTACGTCCTTCTTGGTTACTGGCTGAATCCCTGCGCATCTCTGAAATAATCTGATTCTGAAATGAAACTCCCGGAGGAGTGTTTACAGAAAGTGCCCCAAAACCAAACGTCCTCCTAGGAGGACGGTTTCTGTCTGTCTCTTCACCTAAATCTGTCTCTAGCTTTCCTGCTGGCTCCCAGCAAGCTGGCTCCATCCTGTCTGTGCTGTAGCTCCATCCAATGCATGGAGCGCGAAGGGCGAGATAGGCACCGGGATGTCAGAGCAGCCAGTGCCTGTTATTCCTTCATTTCTCCTCCCCTCCCCCTTAACCCTGGCAGTGGCGGGTGCTGGGATGGTCCTGTTAAGATGATTGCAAAGGGTGACAGAGAGAAATGTCCGTTTGATCAGTGCCATCAGCAGAGCTGGGGTGGGCAGAAGGGGCCATGCTTTCACATGCAGGAATCCTTCATGTTTTGCAATGGTAGAACAGGAGTCCTTTCCTCTTTGTGATGCTACCACTGAGTGTTAGAGGTTGGTTTGGCTTGAATGTCTGCAGATTGGAGAATGCTTTATTAGGTTCTACCATTGCTAAAAGGCAAAACCATCTCCCAGCAGTGCAAGGGATCGATGGAGTGATGATGCCTTACCTGTGTGCAGGGTTACATGTGCCTAGCAAGGCTCTGCATGTATCATGTGGGGGTGTTTGTGTGTGGTATGAACACCGACCATATCAGAGAAGGCAGAATTGCTCCCTGGTATGTAGCAAATGTATGCACTGAGTAAAGCTGTGCAGCAAATGCTTCTGCTGTAAAGGTGCAAGATGTCTGAGCCTTAGGCATCAGTGTTCTTCGCCGTCCAGTTATGGACAGGCCGAGGACAAAAGGTGGGCAAGCAGAAACAGCTGTGCCCGGCCGCTACAACAGTAAAGGAGATTGGTTCTGTGAGGCTGAAGGGGCTTTCGCGATCCAGTGGGAGTGTGATGGGGGGTGCAAATGCTAAAGGTAATTGTTCAAACATCACAGCACTGTGTCGCACTAGAGATAAAGCCAAGTCTGCTCTGATATAGGGCTGCCCCTTTAAATGGCATATGTGTTCCTGGAACCATTTCAAAAACCTGAGATGAAAAGGATTGTGTAGACAGAGCTGGAGGAGGAAGAGGGGGCTGGGGGACTGCACTGTGAGAGGAGGGACCCGCTCACTTCACTGTGGGCTCTGCACCTCTCTCCTCCTCCGTTGCAACCTGTTCTCTCTCCCTCACATGCAAACAGGCACGTGTGCACACAGGGTCTGCTCAGCTGCTTGCAGGCATGCAATGTAGTGTGACACACACACACGAGGGGTTCGTGCACACAGTGTTCACTCCCATATGGTACATGTTCCTTTACCTCCTAGAAACACATGTACTGTATGCACCACTACAAAGGCATACATTATGTGCCCACACGCTGCCTTGCACAAAAGCACACCGTATAATCAGAAACATTAACACACACCACCTCCTACCTCTCATGGCCTGGCTTTTTCCCCTCCTCCCCCCACAAATTGGCTTATGCAGGCAATCGAGAAGCCCCTATGCCCGATTCCAGGAAGGGCACAAGGGCTCAGATAGGCTTTTTATCCCCAACTCCCCCTCCTTTTCTGGCTCTCTTCCTTCTCATCTCTCCTACCCCAGTCATCTTTTTTTCCTCTTATTAATTCATGCCTTTTTTTTCTCCTCCACTTTTTCTTTAACAGTCTCTCTTGTTCCTTAATTGTTCTGTTTTTCCTCCTCCCTCTCCCCTCCCCACTCTGTCTGCCAGCACCCTGGAAATGGGAAGTGGGGCCGGGCGTGGGTGAGCAGAGGAATCCGCGCTAACCCTTTACTAGAGAAGGGAAAGAAAGGCAGAGAGCAGTATTAGCCAGCTGGGCAGTGTCCCTGATCTGCAGTGGCTAGAGGAACTGAGTGCCAGAAGCCCCGCCCCTCCCCTCCCCTTCACATTGATGCTCCAGGCTTCCCAGGGGAGAGAGGCATTTAGAAATTCCCAGTACGTCCCTCTAAGGCTGCGCTGACATGTTGTGCTGAAGCCTATGCTTGGTTTGTCTCCCGCACCGAGGCGCTAGGACGTGGATGCCAGTGTTTACAGGCCACAGGCCTGGCATCATCACCAGCAGAACAGGCAGGAACCAGACCCTTCCTCCCTCCGCCCCCTCCCCCCAACGGAACAACCTTTGGAACCAACCTCGACCGAAGGGTCTCCTCTCCACCCACGAAAGCCCAAAACACACTGGGATTCTGGTCACTCTGAAGGGGAGCCCCAATAGTTAGAATGAGACACACTGAGGTGTCCTGGGACACTAAGAATTTCCAGTGACAGATGTGTCCATGGGACACAGATGGAGAATTGCCACACGGGCAGAACTTCAGGGGTGGGGAGGCCGGGAGGCATAGCCATACTTTAAGCTGGAGCCTTGGAGGTTGCTAACCATTTGTTAGCAAATGTCCTGTATTTCTTGAGGCTGCCTCAGCTTTGCTGTCCCTGCTTGATCTGAAATGCCCATTACTGAATAAAGTATCCAGTGCAGCAGAGGTCTCCTGCTCTCTCCTTCCATGGGCCTCTCTGGAGTTCTGTGGCACTGTCAAAGTTTAGAAAGAACGCCATCCATGTCATTTTAGGGGTGTGTGGGGGGGTGACTATGCAAATGGGGGAGAAATATGGTCATGTAGGCAGAGTGGCATTAGAAGAACGTTCGATAAACAGCCAAACGTGACTGTATCTGAGTGTAGGAGGTACCCACAGACTCAAACCAGGAGGTAGGTGATGAGGGTGGCTCCGAGTACCTGTGGCTCCATAGCCCAGCTAAAGGAGCAAGAGGTGCCTGGTGGTGTCCTTCGGTTCCCTCAGAAAAGATTAGACTTCCTGGAGAGGGCATCTCAGGGATCCCAGCAGCAGGTAGGAATGTCCCCTTTGGCAGGATTTTGTGCCTGTGCAGGGAAAAGCAGTAGAAGGGTCAGGCAGCCATGTGCAAGGTGTGGGTTGGTTTGGTTTCTGTGGGGAGTTGCTAAGGAAAGGTTAGTTGAACGCTGAAAGTAGCATTTGCTTTAGTTTCTCCCTTCGATTGGGAGAATTGACGTGGTATTTTTGGCACAGTCGCGGCAGGCGTGTCTGGAGGTAGCACTTGCTCTACAAGGGCCGACCTGCTGTTTTTGACAAGGATTAGGATGTTGGCGTTCTAAGACCCCAGGGGATAAGGGGTTGGATGAACAGAAATGAAACCAGGACGACAGAGCACCAAGAATCCAAAGAACTGTACCCAACATTTGGGAAGGAGGAAATGGTTTTTAACATCACAGGGATCACTGAGGCTCAGAAGGATAAGGAGAGGAGGAGTAAGCCAGGCTTCATAGCATTGTGAAGGGGAAAGAAGCCCATCTGGAGATGGTCTCAGGTGCTGTTGTGAGAGGGGTTGCTTAGATGAGTGACCTTCTGTGAGATTTTGCTGGGAAAGGGGAGGTTGGATGTGGGTCAGAATCTGAAAAAGAGAAGACATGGGGAGAATTTCTGAGATGAGTGTGGATATTGGCCTTCAGAATATGAGGGAAGACACAATGGGCTAGTGAGTGGTGAATGGCCGATTACTGGAGTGCTGGAAAGGGCAGGACTAGCAAGCAGGACATACACTGAGAGGGAATAGGCTAGAAGCCAGAGATGATGCCTCGCTGGTTTCCAGGAGAGGTGGGAGGGGATGGTGAACAAGAAAAGAGGTGATGGGGACATGGAGCTATATGAGGTGGTAAGGTTGGCAGGCTGATGTTGCTATGGCTACTTATATTCTATTCATGGAAGAAATTAGCTAAATCTTTGCACTTGAAGATGGAGGAGGAGGGAGTTCTCGGCGTTTCGGGGAGAGAGGAAGAGAGAGAGAAGCCGAAGCAGGAAAGGGGTAAATTTTCCTTCCAAGTGCCATTCTTGGTGTGGGGAGAAATAATTCTATAAGGGGTGAAATTCTGGTCTGTCCAGGCTGGAGAAAGTGAAGGAAGATGAGAATTTACAGACCAGAAATAAGGCACAGTAGCAGCAGAGTCTCCAAGGCACAGTGGGCCTGTCAGCTGTCTCCAGTGTGACT